ACCCATTGGACTGTATGGGTGTCTACGCCACAGTCCCCCAGCTTCCTAATGAGAATGGGGTGAGAGACAGTATCAAAAGCCTTCCTGAAGTCTAGGAAAACTATATCCACTGCCACCCCTGCATCCAATGATTTAGTGACCTGGTCGTAAAAGGCCACCAGGTTGGTCTGACAGGACCTGCTGCTGATGAACCCGTGCTGGTTGCCCCTGAGCATGCAGCTCCCTGCTGGGCCCTCCTGGATCCATGCCAGAATAATTTTCTCAAACAGCTTGCCCAGGATCGAGGTAAGGCTGACTGGCCTGTAGTTCCCCGGGTCCTCTTTCCTCCCCTCTTTCCTCTCAAGCTCATCACACACAAATTGCTGGTAGTACTTAATATTTTTAGGCATGTAATGTACTGTGCTAAACCCCATCTTGTAAGCACTGATTTTGGTGGAAGTGACACAGTTGCATTTAGATCCCTGCTTTGATTGGTGATGGACTCCCTGTATCAAAGGTTATGGCCTGGACAATGTTTGAATGCTTTTAAAAGAGGAAATCAGTCTATCTACATCAGGAAAATGTGTGCACCAGATATCACTAAAGAAAGAATGTGTGCATTGCAGGTAACGTGAATTGTGTTGGGCATCATTCCATGGAGCACATGAGAAAGCTTTGGACATACACATTGCGTTGACAGACAGACATGCTGAGATCTTATTGAATTCTAAGCCATAGTTTACAACAGCCTTCACTACAGCTTGTGCAACACTTGAAAAAATTTATATATGTGAGTTGAACTAGCCCCATTTGAAAAACAGGCAGGTCACAGTCTTTCCAGCTTCCAAGTACAAATAAGATGTGGAGTGCATAATCATCCTGTGCATCTGCTGCATCATCTGCACATCTGAAACTGATTCATATCCTGCCAGTGCAGACTTTGTAGACTGAACAGGAAAAGTAGTTACTCCTGGTGAAGTGTGTTTACACACGGGAAACTGTCAGTATTTGGTATATGCTTGTTGAAGTACTCCCTTAGTTAAGGGTTATCAATTTTTTCCAAAGGTATGTTGGCAGCAGTGAATGCCTCTATTAGCTCAAATGTACCTTCTCTTCTTGTTAAACCGCTTTCAGTGGTTCTTTTAAATACCAAGAACATTGTTGTTTGTTTTTTGTTCCGACCTTCAGCCTCTGCCAAAGCCTTTTACTTTATATGTAATTCGGACTCTTTCTGAATACACACACACACACACACACACACACACACACACACACACACACAAATTTATATTCAGAAAGAGTATGAATATATAAGTGAATTGCTTATAGATATAGATATATAGAAATATGTGTCTATATATCTATATCTATAAACAATTCGCTTTATATACTCTGCCACCTGCCAAAAAGGCTTGCTTATGCTCTCTCTCATTCTCTGCTTGAATAGGACCTAGGTTGAGGTGTAATGGTAAAGAGGACACAAGAAATAATAGGAAAAGGCTTCTCCAGGAAAGCAAAATGCAGATGTAACACCTACTGGAGGCAAGGATTGAACCTACAACCTTTAGATTGATAGGCCAACGGACTACCAGTTGGTCCAAACAACACTGTTGTTTTCTTAATACATCCACAGTCATATTTCAAAATGAACAAAACAATTTACCATCATCTGAATGTAAGGCTCCTACAGAAGACTGCATTATACGATCCTGAGCTTGAATGTATTTAGCTTTTTAAAATGTCTTTTCATTCATTTTCAAACTGCAGAATTGCATTTAACTCCTTAAATGATGGCACTGAAACATATTCACTTCACTGACTGGTGCCTCCACTTAGTCTACATCACTAGTAGACAGTGGGTGCATCTACACAACATGCTTTACTTGAGATTAAAGCCAGTTACTGCATAGTAAGTACCACCATCCACTCATTCAGATGCTTACTGCACAGTAATTTGCTCTATTTGTGAGTAAATTTACTACCTGTAAATACAAGTAGCAAACAGTTTCTATTGCTTACTGCACAGTACAGCGCATGTAGACAGTCAATTGGGAGCAAATGTGCTCTTGTTTAGCTGGGCAGCATGGGGCAGGAGATTGCTCCCTGCCCCACAGAGCTGCCTGCTGCTACGGCAGGCTCCATCACCAAATCCTGGGTGGGAACCATGTCCCCCTGCCCCAGCAGCAGGGAGTTCCCAGCCCCCACTTCCTGATCATGATTGCGGAGTGGGGGCTGGGAGATTCTTCTCTCCCAGCCAGGGCCCTGTGACCACAGCGCCCCAGCTGGGAGAGAAGAATCTCTCAGCTCCCACTCCCCGATCACAAAGCAGGGGCTGGGAGCTCTCTGCTGCTAGGGCAGGGGGACATTGTCCACTTGCAGACTCTGGTGGCACAGCCTGCCCCAGCAGCAGGCAGCTCCCGGGAGCAGGAAGCAATGTTCTGGCCCCCGCCAGGAGACAGCTGTCTCCTGGCCCCATGTTCCCTGCCAGCCCCTGGGCTAGAACCCAGGGGAGCCTAGAGATCCGGGAGGCTGCAGGGGCCTGGTGCAGAGCCGCAAGGAGGAGCAAATCTGCTGCTGCCCTCCTGCACGCGTAGAGTAAACTGATCCTGCATTATTTGCATATGTAGATGTGCCCAGAAACTCTCAATCACATGATCTGTGGCTGCAATGATTGTTACATTGCCTTTGTATTGTTGCAAGCATTGGGACATTCTAAAACAGCATATCATATGAATGCTGTTCATACACTGGGGTGGTGGTGGGATTGGGGGGGTAGATTGATTTTGGAAGTAATTGCAGCCAATGCGATATTTTCTGGTGATTATGGACAACACAGTTTCTGCAAAGACCACAAAACCTTAATCATCATGCTATCTGGGCCACATGGTTCCCCATCACTTTAGAAACTGGGCAGCAGGGAAATGGCAATTGTTTCCACTGCTCCCCTGATGACAAATTTCTGGGCTGGTTGGAACCCCTGTGGGCTAGATGGCATGGATCCACAGGCCAGATCTAGCCTGAAGGCTGGGGAATGAGCACCTTATCTATGGAGACAAAAGCTCTCTGGAGACTTATGAAGGTTGCATACAAATGTTTTTGTCTTTTCACATATTTATATGCTAAATAGTGCAACATCAAACAATGGTTCACGCAAGAAAAGCGTTCTCTAAAACGGGACTGCTTTTCTCTCAAAATACTGTTTTCAGAAATCCATGTCTGAAGATGAAAAAGTAAATGTCTCTCAAGTATTTTGGAAGGAATACACATAAGACTAAGGGGGTGTTATGACACAGGATCTCTTTCTTATCACCATTTTTAAAAATTGGGACTATTATATTTTCATTCCAGTGATTTGGATAAAAGCCTTCTAAAATCAGGGGTGGGCAATGATTTTGGCTGGAGGGCAGCTTAATGAGTTTTGGCAAACTGTTGAGTAGCCCTGCCCCTTGACAGGTACCCTGCCCCCTGGCCGCTATCTTGGGACCAGAAGTCCCACCCCCTAACCCATGACCTTTGCCACCAGAATTCCCTCCCCCTGCCCCCAGAAGTACTCCTTTTGAGAAGGGGGTTTGCCATCTTGGAACTGGGAAAAAAAATTATATTATAAAAAGTAAAACCTTGACAATAACATATTTTAAATATATATTTTTGTCCTGATTTATGTGTGTTTGTGTGGTGTATACAGAGATGACTGCATAATAACTCAAAATGAGGTCTTACTCTTGTATATTGTAGGGGAGTGTGGAGGGGTGGCGGGGAGTATGGGAGTAGGGTGTGCTTGGAGGGGTATGGGTGCATGTGTGGTGGGGTGTGTGCACATAGCAGTGAGCAAAGTACCCCCCAGTGATGTGCAGATGTGTGTGTGGGAGGAGGGTTTGGGGGCAGATGTGGGTGGGTGCAGGGTTTGTGGGGTGTGTGATTATGTGTGGAGGAGGGTATGCTTCTGCAGTTTGTGGGAGTGGGTTTGTGGTTATGGTGGGGTGTGCATAGGACCCCTGTATGTGCCCCCTGGAGCCAGTCAGCATCCACCCCTGTCCTGCAACAGCTCAGACCCACGGGCCCTGTGGCAGCTCCCCACCACCACCAACAGTGAGCAGCCCCTGCCCTACACCACCCCGCTCCAGACTTACCCCCAGCAGAGCAGATCAGCTGGAACCTATGCACAGCCCCAACCTGCCCCGCCCTACCCCATGACTGCTCTGAACCACCTGCCCATGGTGCATCCTGCTGCCCCCTGAGCATGCAGTGAGGTTGGGGTGGCTCCACAGTTGGACTGCCTTTCTAGACAGCTCCTTCCAGCTACCACTGCCACTGACCCCAGCCCCACTGCACAGACCTGACCCTACATGCCCTGCACCTGCTCCAGGCTCACCTGCCCAGGTTCAGCAGTGGTGGCGCAGGACAAATGCTGTTGCAAAGTGTGAAGGGAAAGCGGCCACTCCCCCTCCCACTGCCAGGAGTTCCCTGCTACAGCCGCCCAGAGCCCATGCTGAGCTGCCTTGTGTCTGCTCTGTGCTGCCACTGCTGCCCCACAGGGCAGTTCAGAGACAGTAGTGATGGTGGCATAGATGCAGGGCAACCCAGGGTGGGTTCCAGGCAGCTGCAGCAGAGAACTGCCTGCTGTGGGAGGGGAAGGGGCTGCTTTCCCCCCATGCTGAGCAGCAGCTTTTGTCCTGTGCAACCACTGCTCAACTCAGATGGGCAAGCCTGCAGCAGGTGCTGTGCAATGCAGGTCACTGAGGCCGGTGGCAGCAGCAGCTGGAAGGAGCTGCCTGCCACCCGGGCTGCCTAGAAAGGCAGTCCAGCTGTGGAGGTGCCCCAGCCCCACTATGTGCCTAGAGGGTTGCAGGATGTGCCACAGCTGGACTATGCCTGGGCCAGAGGACTAAGGGACCTGCCGCAGGCCTGACAAAGACAAGGATCCGGCCTGTGGGCTGTATTTTGCCCACCCCTGTTCTAAATAATATTAAAAATTGTGGACAGAATTAGACACCACCAGTCAGTGAATTGCTTAAACATTTCTGGAGGGAAGAAAATCAAGGCTGGGAGCTTTTACATTTTTCAATGAAGATGTATATGATCTTACTTGAGATTCAAAGGTGAGATAATAATCTGCTTGTAACTTAACAGATAAGATTCCCTTTAGAGAGAAGCCACCATTTCCTTCACTATCTTTGATTAAGCTCTTAAACTTATTTTTTTAAAAAAAGGCCCATATATCTTCAGGAATATATATATCAGGAATTAAGCTGAAGTGTTTGGTCCCTTTGGCTATAATTTGCCAAAAACATTGCTTATTATTTTTTCTGTGGCTACCAGCTCCTTCCATAGCCTCATTTGATATTGCTTCTTTTTATGTCTATAAATGTTTTATGGTCTATTTTAATCTTCTTGATCTGTTGAAAGCTAGCACAGTCATTTTTAGACTTCTGTTCCTTCAAGACATCTATTAAATCCTCTTTAGCTTTAGCATACTCCTCATCGAACTATGATTTGTACCATTGATACTGCCTATTCCCAGCAGAGATGCTTTCTTTTGTAAGGGCATTTTGCAACTCTTGGACAACTGCTTCATACTGGGTACTTGTTTCGTTGGGTTGCACCCATACAATTATAGCTTAAATATATATACACCCCCATGTTATGCTCAGATTTTAATTCACTTCAGAGGGGAAAGATGAAATCCATAAGGATTTAACTAAGCTGCATCATTATATAGGAGGAGAAATCATGTCATTAATTCAAAAATGGTGTGTTATTAGGTAATGTTCTACCCTATTATCTGGGTTGAACTAGAAATTAATTTTCATAATGAGAAAACTTTATGAATGAACACATGCACATCATGCCTAATTCAAAGCCCACTCAAAACCAGTGTGGATTTTTCCATTGACTCTACCAGACTTTGGATCAGCTGAAAATGCAGAAGGTTGGACAAATTCAGACATTAGAAGTTAAACGCTTATTTTAAAACCTATATATGGTATGAAAGCCAGGAAAGTGCCTGTCAGCTTGCAACAGAAGGTGGCATGTTGCCTATCCTCCTGCCTGAACAGTGAAATGACTCTGACTTACAGGCTGCTATAAAAAAGTATAAATATTCCTGTTAAAAAATAAAAGCTTTCCTTTCCCTAATGTTTTTCACTGCTGCATCCTTTAATAATTGAGATTGCTACAATGTGGCCACAATGAATTCCAGGCTCCACAGCAATAAATAGCAGTGTTTGGAAGGCTGCACATCATTAGATTATTATAACCTTTAAGTAACAGAGTGCCAGCTCACAATGATCCTAAAGGTATGTGTATAAGTGCTTAACAAAATTTGCTTACATTCCTCCTATTAAACTAGTAATTCCAATAGAAGCTCCATCTGTCTATATAATGTCAGAACATAAAAACGATCTATTCTCAGTTAAGTGTATAAGACACCAGAAATAATTTGCTGCTTTGTTAAAGTAAAGCAAAGTACTCTTTGAATAGGTTAGCTCAGGTATCCTACATGGCTTTGCATAGTATACATATACAAATACTTGGAGCTTAGGCTGTGCCATTGACTGGGTGTCCCTGAAGCCATGTACTGTCTGTATGAACTTTCTAAATATGAGGGTGATAAAACATTGGAACATGCTACCTAGGCAAGTTGTGAAATCTCCATCCCTGGAAATCTGCAAGAGCAGGTTAGACAGACACTTGGCTGGGATGGTTTAGTCAGGGATGATCCTGACTTCAGAAAGGGTTTGGACTAAATGACCTTGTGAAGGTCCCTTCCAGGTCTACTTTCCTGTGATCCAGAATTTATTCTTTGGCACTGAGAATATTCAGCCAAAATGGCACAGATACTAGCGACTGGTAAAATTAACTGTTAGTCTGGAAATTGTTTTTTAGATACAAGAACTAGCGCATAAATATTGTATGTTTATGCACAAGCAGATTATTTTGAGCCATTTGTTTTCTTTTAATCCACGTGTAGATGCTTATTATCATTTCCTTGTACTATGGTCTTCTTAAACTGTAATTTGTCTGTTTTCCAAGTTAAAATGGACAAGAAAAAGGTATGCATAGATCACATTATAGAACTATCTGTATGACTGTGCTACAAAAGATTTTTGATCCCCTGACCATAATAATGCAAATATTTGGGAACTAAAGAAACATAAGCAGCTCATTAACAGAAGAGAAAGTATCAGCCACCAGACCTAAACTAGTTCAGATAGTTAATTGTTTGAGCTCAGCCAAATATCACAAATTAGAGACTATGGACATCTCATCCTGTTCAAGTCAAGGTAGGTTTTTCAAAGCCATTCCACATAAAATCAATAGGGTATAGGGCAACTGTGCTAAATTTATCAAGATCAGTAAACTATACTAGCAAACCATATTTGGACTATGTACAAATTTAATACTACACTACTCTTTCAAGATCAAATTAATGGTACTTGCAAAACCTCAAGTAAACAGCTTACTGCAGAAGAACCACATAAGGATTGGCGCCGGCCTTCTGGGCTGTGGACAAAGTTCCGATCAATCGTGCAGAAGGTTTACACTGCTGTTTAGGGTCACCTCAATATGTCTGAACCCCATTAGTCACCATCTCCCATTTATATCTTACCTTCCAGCAAATAACAAAGACAATGCCATGTATTTCCTGTTCCTTGAGCACAGTCCTTCTAGAAATCAGTACATCTGCTACTTCTCTCTTCCTGTACACTTGTTTCTAATTATAGGCAGTAGAAAGAGGAAGTGGGATACAGAAGGGCCATTTCCAGGAAGAGGATGTTGTGGGATTGGTGCAGTTAACTCTGTCCTTGTGGCTTGCAGTGCTCCAGTGATTTCTAAACTCACTGCAGGGAGATGTGGGCTAGCAAGATATGGACATCTGATAGTAGGCTGGATTGCAACTAGGGTTGAGTTAACAGGTTTAATTGCATAGATAGCTAGCATACATGGGCTTGAGTCTGTGTCTAAGGTTGACACCAAGTAGCAGCTGCAGTTTCAGGGGTCATGGTGCCTACACACCTGATGCGTGCAATTTCTGAACAATGAATCCATCTCAGTGTGGTCCCACCCACTGGTTTTGATTCTCCCCAGACCCTTCCCTCCCAAAGCACAGAGCTCAGCTCTTCAGGTCCAAAAAGTATGTCTACACAGTGACTGAAGTGTAATGTAAAGGTAGCTCAGCAAACTATAAACAGAAAAAAATGGGTACTAATAGCAGGCAAGCTGCAGCAGAGCAATAGGGCTCTGGATCTGTGACCACTAGGGCTGTGCGAAGCTTCACTGGCTGTTTCGACTCATTTCAAGCTCAAAACAGCGAAACCAAAACAAAATGAAGAGCTTCAAAACAGCCCTGAAACGAAATGAGGTTATTTGAAATATTTCAAAAGTTTTGAAACGTTTTGAATTTCAAAGCAGCCCAGTGGTGGGAGGCATTGGAGAGCCAGGGGCTGCACTCCGAGCAGATCCACAGCCCCATGTGGCTCATCCCCGCGGGGAGCGCAGCCCTGGCTCTCCCTGCCTCCTCAGATCAGCTCTGGTGCGAGGCTCAGGGCAAGTCAGCTCATGCACAGATCTGCCACCACCCTGATCCCGAGGCAGTGGCAGGTCCCCACAGGAGCTGATTTTCCTTGGGCACCGGAGCTGATCAGAGGAGGGTGCGGGGCCTGGGACAAATCAACTCCAGTACAATCCTGGGGCAGGGGAAGGTCCCTGCACAAGCTGATATGCCCTGGGGCCCATACCACAGCTGGCCCAAGGAGGCTGCGGGACCCGGGGCAAATCAGTTTGTGTGGGGACCCACACCCGCCCCGATCCCAGGGCAGGGACAGGTCCCCACAGGACCTGACTTGCCCCGGGCCTGCTTGCTGATGGCCCCAGCCAACAGCACCAGCCTCCTATAATCCGAGAGACAGATTGGGGGCACACATCCCTGGGAGCAGTCTGTCACAGCCTCCACAGCCCTCCTGGGAGTGCGGGTGGGCCCCAATCTGCCGGCTTGATGACAGGAGGCTGAGGCCAGTGGCAGCACCAGTCTTCCTGGTGCTAGGTGCAGGCTGCACCCAGCACCATACCAGGTGGCAGAAGCAGCTTCCTGTCATCTGTCAGGCCAATCAGGCCCCCCCACTGCACCCTTGGGAGGGCTGCAGGGCTCTGCTGACTCCTCTCGAGGGTGTGGGGGGCCCCAAACTGCCTACTGGATGACAGGAGGTTGGTGCTGCCATCTGGGTGCAGCCCATGCCAGGAAGATCAGTGCTGCTGCTGGCCCCAGCCAGCAGCACCAGCCTCCTGTCATCCAGCAGGCAGATCACTGGCTTGCCTGCACCTCTGGGAGGGCTGTGGAGACTGTGCCAGACTCCTCCCGGGGGTGCGGGCCCCTGATCTGCCTGCCAGATGACAGGAGGCTG